AAGATTAGAATCTTCTCTAACATCGTCAAGTAAAGGCTGCAAATCAGACAGGATGCGCTGCACCAGTGGGTGAGATTGGTCGCTTACGTGCAGTTCTGGGGCAAAGAAAATTTTTAATGATGGATGTAATGTGATCTCCAGTGTGATCGCTGTTTTATTATTAAATTATGTGTAAAAACAAATAAAATCTATGGTCTGCGTTGTGTTTTTTCAATATGTGCACACTTTCTGACAAGTTCAAACACCTCACCAGAGGAAACCGGCCCACTTTCACTTTTGACTGATGTCAAACGCTGCCGAAATGGAGCCGATTTTCTGGTTGAATTAATATCAGCAGTGTCCAGATGCCACTCCCCAATAGGCGGCCAGCGAAATACAATCCCGAATCCAAAGTTTTAGAGTGGATTCGATCGCACCTCGCCGCCGTCCCGTTCAGCAGGAAAAACGCACACACTCTCACACACACACACACCTTCGCTCACTCACGCTCACTGCTGCAGCCGGCTTGTCTCATTCAACAGGAAAAGCAAGCACACACACACACACACGCACACACACGCACACACACACACCGCCTCTGCTGGCTCGTCCCACTCAACAGGGAAAAACACGCACACACCCACACACACACACACTCGCTGCTTCTGCCAGCTCGTCTCATTCAACAGGGAAAAACACGTACACACCCACACACACACACTCGCTGCTTCTGCCAGCNGTTCGTACGAACCCTTTGTACGAACAAAAGTAAGAGAAATTTAGGATAAAAATACGAACATGTTCTTGCATGAGGCCCATTGTATCTCTGCTTCAAGAGATTTGGCCTTATAAGCAGTGCCTCCACATGGTGGCCAAACAGGTCTAATGATGACAATCAAAACTGTTTATATGCAAAGGAGGACCTCAGCCTGATCCTTAATTTACACTGCAGTTCCACTCCGCTTTGGTCCGACCTCCGCAGCAAAAATGCAAGCATAATCAATGTGAGTATTTACACTGGCTCTGCACAGCGCGGTGGTGAGTAGACGGCAATCTGCCAAAATTAGACTCCATCCTATTTTTGCAGGACGCCAGAGCTGCACCGGAGTCATCCTACAAAGATCGCGTTGCACCGACAGGAAAAGGAACATGCGCAACATCCGTGTTTTCAAAATAATTCACATATATGAAGATATTTATACACAAATGCTGTCAAAATGTATTGTTCTGTTTGGGAAGCAAATGGCAACATGAAGTGTGCAGCATGTGTGTACTCACATGATACACATGGGCTTTATTTTGAAATCAGAACTTTCAAAAAGACAGAAGGGATGCAGTTTCATTTGTGTTTGTTGTCCATCTTCCACAGAATTAATTATTTTACTCTGACTTCCACATTTATTACTGGATTTATTAAGCGATGTCACATTTCCTGTACACACTTCTCGGACCTCCTCTATGCTTCACACCGGAGCAGAGTGGAAGCTGTATAAACTGTAGCGCAAACAAACGGTGGCGAACTGTGCAGCACAGCAGTGTGGAGCAGAACTGCATCTAGTGTAAATTAGGGGTAACATTAGATTATTAGCGCCTTGAATATCAGCCTGACGATTGTTAGAGCTCTGATTAACCCTATTGTTACCAGAGGGTTGTCATACTTGCAATAATAATATTGTAACACAGGGAGAACTGGACAAAGAGTTCTCTACCCCTGTTTAATGATGAACATTAGTTCTTCACAAAAATGCCTTTCTCTACTCCTCTCTCAAACCACCGTTGCTCTATATCAAGAATAAAAACATCTTCATCCCTAAAAATGAGTGACCACTGGCCTGTAGATGAGTGTAAACTGCATAATCTTGTCCTGATGGTGTAGCTCTTCTGTGTTGGCCCATTCTTTTGAACAGTGGCTGTTTAGTTTCCCCAATGCAGAACTGATCCCAGTCCTCCTGGCACTTAACAGCATTCACATTACTTTGTGCTGGGGAACCGGTTCTTTGGGGTGAACCAGTCTTTGCCGTAATGTGTTTTGGGGTTTGGAAGCCATGGGATTTCATGTTTAGAGAAAAAACATCTCAGTTTCTCTGAAGCTCCTGCAACATACAGAATGACCACTGGTTTGGGTTCTTTCTTTTTCCCCCAGTGATTGGCTAGAGTCCTGTTTTGGCTTTATTTTCCCAACACATCAGGTGCTGCAGTAAGGGCTGTCAACACGTGACATGTTAAACCTCATAGAAGCCGACACCCCTTTCCTTTTTTCTCCAAAGTCTGGACCCTTCAAAGAGAACCCACAATGTCAGTGACAGGGAGCTACTTGTCTTAGAGGAGTGGCACAAGAACTTGGCCTATCTTTGGTTTACTAAGCATTTCAGTACCCAACAGGTTCAGTGGTTGGTGGTTTTTAAACACTTCAACTTCATCATTACCTATCATCTGGGTTCCAGCAATGTCAAGTCAAATACCCTCTGATGTCAATTCTTTTCTCTTGTTTAACTCAAATCCTCAGAAGGATCCTCTTGAATTCTTTGCTCAGAACAAGACTAGTAACTATGTTCCCTCTGGTCATCTGCAGCCATTGCCCACTCCTAGTCATCCTTGGTCTCACACATCTCTATAGTTAAAAATACTTAAAAGTAAACAGCATGGTATTCCCCATTGTTCGGTTTTTTTTTTAACCTAGGAACTCAGAGAAACAACAACAAACCCGGCCGAACATTAAAACAATGACAAACAGAGACCAGTGAGATTTTTAAAGATTCACTTTGCAAAGGAGAACTCAGTGCACATAGCTTTGCTCAGGTGAGCTCAGAGAAGTCCAGAGAAGTTCTGACCTTTGTGGACGTGATCTGTCTTTTATTAAAATACGTAAATATTGCATCACAAGTAAAACAACGAATCAAACATCATTTGCTGGAGTATATCAAAAACATAGAAACCAATGAAAAAGCCGTTGCTGGGGTTACGATATCTTATAAAGGAACAATGAATACTTGTTTTTGTACTTGAGAGTGGAAACTTACAGGAATGTGAAGAAATGTGAAGTTTCGACAATTAATCTTAACCTAATCTTACAGAAACTGCTCACAAGCAGTTTCATGGCAGCCAGACTAACCTTATCTTACAGAAACGGCCTTGWGAGCAKTTYCCATCYGTTTGCTCATCATGTTCCTGTTGAAAACACATTTTGAACTAAACATTTGTAACGTACTCAAAACTTTATTTGATACACACACAATGAACCTTAATAAAATGTAATAAAGAAAAACCTTTTCATATCCCTCCTGTTGTAACAAATAAAGTAAGTAAAAAAATAGAAAGGTATAAAAGTCGGACAACAAAAAGGTGCAAAATAGGTAGCACCTCAAACAATGTAAATCAGTCTCTCAGGAGTATATGAAAATGGTTGAATGAATGAGTAAAAACGACTCTAAATAATACTAATGAGCCTGAGTAAAAAGATATATAAAAACAAAGCGTCATAAGGACCTGAGAACATCCTTTGGCATAGCTAGATAAGAAAGGACACTTAGGATAAGTTCATGGAATGCTCTAATCAACATAATTTTTATTCGTCAGACTCAGAATCGTGGAGGACATATTCACACTGGTCATCTGTGAAGGGGAGGAGTGCATAAACCTGCTCCTGGACGGGCTGAATAGCTGTGGTAATGATCCGATTAACCAAACCTCGAATGCAAGGAATACAACAACATCCACACAAGGTAAGTAATGCTGCAAACACAGCCACTGAAATCAGAATAGATGAGATCAGTGTCTTATATTTACCAAACATGCTCATCCACGAGTCCCATATAGATGTGTCAACACCTGAATGCTCTTTCATCTTTTTGTTCAGGGTCCTCAGACCTTCCAAGGCCCTGGTGAGGCTTCCGTCAGGAGCGGTGTTGTTGGGGATGAAAGTGCAACACTGCTCTCCAAACAGAGCGYAGACGCCTCCCCGTTCTGCCAACAACATATCCAACGCAATCCTGTTCTGAAAAGCCATTAAAGATGTAGTGGCGAGTTGCTCATGGATAGCTTTAAAGCCTAATTCTGTTGCGTTTCCAAGACGCTGCACGTTGTAATGGATGTAATTTATACGATCTGCATTCTTGTTAGGAGTAATGGGAATTATCGCAGCTATAAGAGGAAGATTCTCAAAACCGGTGGCTACCTGATCAACTAATTTGTACTCATCAGGAACACCACGGGGAATGCCTATTGCATCTATGTAAGTGGGATCAGGACCGAGATCAAAAACAGGTGCACTCCGTTTGTCTCTGGGTAAGAAAAGATGCAACCAATGTTCAGGAAGCAAGGATTGGACAGAAACAATAACCTCTTCAGCTGTCGTGGGTATAATGGTCACAGGTAAAATAAGAGTCACCGCTGCACATAGACCAGAACAATTAGAGGGCAGCCTAYCATAAATCTGCTTAGCCCCACACCACCACCAAACATCACTGCGAGACAAAGGTTTAAAGGAACCGGGGACCATGAAGGTGGTGTGGCAATAATTGGATGGGACTTGGCCAAGGGGGTTAAAACCTGTGATGTTAATACAAGTAAAGTTCTGTGCTGCTACTTGATGRGAAAAGATAGGTTTATCTTTTTCTTTKTTGGTCAATGGGTAATAGGGATCATACCATGAACAGTTAMCCGTAGGGACGCTGGTRTTCATAACGGGAATCAGACAATCAGGGGACATTGGGGCGGGAACCACACGCAACAAAGGTCTAGGACCCATACAGATAATGCAGTCTGTCATTGAGGCATTGGCGGCCTGCTCTGCCATAACTAACCAATTGTTATTTTGTTTGGAGATGCCAGTAAGTACTTCGAACCACTCATCTGAGGTCAATTCTTTGTTGGTAATTGTCAGTTGGGATGGGCGAGCAAGGTACGGTCCCATGGTTAGACCGGGGTTGGGAACGGATGAGGAGTTCAAGATTGTGATATTACTGCAGATGGATAAATCAACGGAAGGGTCTTGGCCTGATTTATACACATAAAGGGTCAAGTGGAAACAAGACAAGTCAGTCCATGAATTGAGTCTGGGYGGTTGTTTGGGAAGAGGGTACATGGTTGTATTAAAGGAAAGAATTAGGCTAGTCTTGGTTTTGGTAAGGGTAAGAATCTTAGACCAGGTCTTCGCCCACTGTGTCGTCATGTAATCACGTGGGTGCCAGTCACGTCCTGTATAAGCAAAAACTGTACCCCAATGCGTGTCATAGTCAGTGGAAGAMAAATACCAGTCATAAGTAGCATAAACAGAACCTGACTCAGGACCTGACTCCTTCCAGTAGATTGTCAACGCACTAAACGGAATTACCACAGTGGAGACAAAAACAGAAGCATTGTAACACACATACGGCRCTTTGGTCTGTCTTTGGGATGTATCAGTAGTGTTACAAGGGTTGGCATGTTTGTGGATGGAGGAGGTAACCGTGGATGCGTCTATGGAATAATAATAACGCTTGGTTCTATGGTGAGTGCTTGAATCAGGTGGAGTCAGTGGGTCGTCGGTTTGGGCGGACAGGTGGGACCAGGGATTAGCTGAAATAGGGAGTCCTGCAACAAGTGGATAAACTACCCAAAAAGAGAAAATGAACCACATAGCGAAGAGAACGAGAAAGGCAAGAGTGTAAACATAGCACGGTGTCTGATCAAACCAAATGTACATATTTACTCTATGCCTAAACCAATGCCATCTGGTCAGGTTAGGAGTTGAGCTGTCTTCGTABGTCTGTGACGGCATGGCTGAAATGGGTGTGGCAATGAGACAGCAACAAGATTACCTAAGAAATAAGTTAGGCAGCAAAAGGAAATCAATGATGGACGGCCARATGCATATACCAGAGAGCTATTACCACAATACAGAGAACTACCGTAATGGTATATGCTGCTACAGCAAAATTAATTCGGTCGAAAGACATTCCTGTAAAAATAAAAGGTTAATCACAATTAATAGTAAACGAGAAAACCTAGAGAAATGACAAAAATAACAAGTAAAACCCCAGCAACACAATGATAAAAATGGTTAAAAAATGATTTAAAAAATGGTTAAAAGTGAATCTTATAATAAATGGTCAAAAAGTCCGATGCTCAGCACATTACACAGGTAGGCTGGTCCCTCGCTCCAGCAGAGCCAGTATTGCTGCTTAAACTACAAACCCACTTGTCAGCAGGGGTCTAATGAGCTGGGATATGGTGGTTGCTTCACGGGCATTTGAGACGACCAGTCCTATTGTTTCTGGCCCCCTTTGTAGCCCTTCCCCACAGCCCCTCCCCCACTGTCAAGCACTGTCTGTAGTTTACAATGGCTGAGATGGATCCAAGATGGCCGCTCTGCGACCTTCACGGCAGTGGGTG